TTCATATAAATATGTACCATCAAATAATTTCAGTTTTGAACAAAATAATTCGATATAGAAGACCATAGATGGTTTCATATTAGGGAACACGCAATGAATTTAGAAAGAGATTAGTAGAACATTAACCAAAATATAAACACCCAAATAATTCATATAAGGGAAAAGTTTATATAAGGTTGCAACCTTAAAATGTAGAATTAAGGTTGCATCTCAAAAATCTATTAAAAAATGTTGTTTTAATGATGAAAATTCTCTAATTGATCATCTCAACATCGAGATGACGAATATGAAAAAAGGAAAATATTTTGAGTCTCATAAATAGTGCGCTTGCAACACATTATCTAAACTATCCATTTTCAAGATTTCCATATGTTTATAGATCTACTTGATTTTAACCATTTTTAGAGTTTAAAATTTTATAATTAGATAGGAAAGTAAATTTTCAGATAATTCTAGGAATGTTTTACACCAAAATCACGTGTTATAATTAAATTTGGGGGTGCGTTTTAATTGGATTGTTTAGGGTTGCAACCTTATAGAAACCACACCTCAAAATATGTACCATCAAATAATTTCAGATTTGAATAAAATAATTCGATATAGAAGACCAAAGATGGTTTCATATTACAGAACTAATTGAAATTCTATACCAAAAAAAGAGGAAAAATTATGCAACAAAGAGAGAAAAAATTGAGATACTTAGTTCTTGAGAAAAATTAGAGAAAATAATACGTAAGCAAGAGAGAGAAAAGAGAAAGAATGCTTAACTGATGCACCCCTAAACTTATTTATAAGCCTTTTCCTGGTCTTTCATAAGTTTGATTGTATCCCCTAAGTGGTTTACGTTTCTTACTAAAACTTGGTTTAAATGGGATTTCTACATGTCTATCTATATTTCTTAAAAAAGAGATAAATATCACAAACTAAATTTCCTAAAAACATTCTCTCTCCCTCATTCATTATGATAATCTCTATCCACTACCTAAACGAGAGACATAAATACCACAAACTAAACTTTCTAAAAACATTATCTCTCTCATTAGGATAATCTCTATCAATGTCTCTCTCCCCCTCTCTCTCAATATCTTTTCCAAATCT